ATTGTACATGTTCTGCAAGTGATTTTTTACACAGCATCACGGGTGAGATCGTACTCTACAAAGTATGTTAAGAACTGAGATTCTCGAATCAATTTTTCAGAAATGATCTAATGAATTTTATGAATTTAAAAATCAAGAGATTGCGATAATGTCACTAAGTCTTTTGTCAAAAGTCTTATTGTTGATAGATGTCTCGTGAAAAATTACTGATCAGGCTAATATTTTGTAGACAAATGGTTGCTCTCTGACACCCGTTCGAACTATATTTCCGAATCTTTCATTGATTCGTTCATAACTCCTTAAATGGGAGTCTCTCAAAAATTGCAAACCTATATATGGAAAGAGCACTAAATTCTTATTACAATTCTACATTGTTCAGAAATCATCCTATGTATACATTTGTATATTCAAATGATAGCAATGTCAGTTTATTGATATAACATCATGTCTACACTTAATGTTCATGTCATCAACATCGAATTAATATTAAGCAAATTGAACCGCAGTCTTTAAAATCAATTAATATTAATATTTGATATTATTCTATCTGTATTATCTGATGTTGTGTATATTTTGATAAGCCACAAATTTTAAACATAAACATTATCATCTTAAAAGATCAATGACATGGGATACGTCCTTTTATGTTACATAGAAACGCTATCATCTGTCCATGATGGAAGACAATGTGATTTCAAAGAAATATTAAACAACTAATGTTTATTGAATATTTTCTCAAGGTAACAAGTCACTTTCAAAATAGCAAGAAAAGTCAAGCCATTATCAATATTGTTAACTTGAAAAAATGATTAAAAGCAGACTGTTCAAAAATATCGTCAAATAAATCTTTTAAGAAATCTTTTCAATCTTTATTCTATAATATGATTAGCATGTTTATTAGATAATTGAAAAAAAACAACTTATATTATTAAAACTAAGCAACAATAATGTCTTCACTAGACATAAGATCTTCCAAAGCAAGATCATATCGTGTAACTTCTTTAGCTGAACCATTGATAATACCAACATATCTTTTTGGTAATGATGTATCAGGAAATGTTTCGACTTCTCCAATTTCATGAATAAAATCAATACCCTGAAGAACACGACCAAATACAACATGATGTCCATCAAGCCAACGAGCTGGAACTAATGTAACAAACCATTGAGAACCATTTGTATCTTTTCCATAGCTTGAGAAAAAAATAAACATAATTAAAATATTCATAAAAATAAAATATCATATAGGTTTTTTTTACTATAACACTTACTTTGCCATTGAAACCCATCCCGCTGATCTATGACTAAGACGAAAATTTTCGTCAACAAATTTTGGTCCATAAATGCTTAAACCTAGAAATAGAAATTTCTCTTTCTATAATTTCTTCGATATTTTAAAATCTTAATACTCACTTCCTGTACCATCACGATTAATAAAATCACCTGTTTGAATACAAAAGTCTTTTACAATACGATGAAATGGTACACCACTATAAGTAAAATTTATCTAGGGAAAATAAAAATTCATATAAAACAAATCCTTTAGTCAATATTCATCTTTGTCTTACATTGCTTCGAACAATTCCATTTGTAATTGTAATAAAATTTAAAACCGTCATTGGAACAATATTACCAAAAAGTCCAATAACAACTCGTCCTTTAGATAAAATTTCATTTGCATGAATATGATCTTTAATAACAATATCAAATACAGCTTCATGAGTTATTGTATAGCGTGTTGGAGCACTTGAATCAGGTAAATCACTTACGACTTCTTTTGATAAACATAAACAAACGATAACAAGAAAAAGAATAGTATACTTGGTCATCATGATGAAAATTTTGTGTGATACTATCTAATTTTTAACGTGATTTTTATACATCGATTTTTGTTCACATTTGCAAGTCAAATACGAAGATCTATGACCAGCTGTGACAATATGTTTTTACGTGGCTTCCATGCCACGTCATCACAAGGACAATATTATTCAAAGTAAAGATTACATAGGCCAACCTTTTTTAGGTTTATTTTCATATATAATTGACCATTGGAAATAATATCCAATGAAAAATATTATTATAAACCAAAGAAAAATAGTTCGAACAAGATTGAAGATTTTAAATTTTTCTTTCGAATAATGATTATTATTATTATTATTATTATTATTATTTATTGAATATTGCTTTTTTTGTTGAAAATTTAAATTTATTTGAATTAATAAAAATTTAATTTTTTCATTTAATTTTTTTAAATTAGTTAATAAATCAATACGTATATAAACAAATCGATTAATTAATTCTAAATTTGTACATGAACGACGATATTGTATACATAATGAACATGTTATACTTAATTTATGTAAGTAATAAAAAATATCTTTATAATATTTTTTATGATAATTAAGAAAATAGTTTAAGCGATTTAAATCTTTTTGAAAATCATCAGTTATATCATTTGAATAATTTAAAGCAAACTTTTTACGTGAAAGATAAGTAAAAATATTTGAATAAATTTTTAGAAAATAATTTTCATAATAAATATTCAAATCTTTATGTATAATCGTAAAATGATTAAGAATAGAAAAATATTTTATTGATGGTTTATGATATGATGAATATAATTTTGAAAGTTGATATTCAAATTTATATAATTGATTTAAAAACATACATGATTCAATACATAAATGAACAATTTTCGAAAGACAACAATTTAAATCATCCATAGAAAAAAAAAACACGTGATAGTTTATCTGGCGCTTGGATTTATAATTAGAAACTAGATGAAGTATGGATCTATAAATGCAACTTAAATGAGTTTTATTTTATTTTTTTTTAACTTTCGATCTTTTCGAATATCTTCAAAACATAAATAAAAATTTAATATTTCATTATCATAACCACAACCTCGCAGGTGAAAAATATCTTACGAAGATCCTTCTGATAATCCGATGTCGTAAGATTCATACTGTATGATCTTATGAAGTTCTACAAATGTGTTACTGTAAGATTTAATATTTATCTGACTATAACATATGCTATTGTTAGTTTAAAATGATATCGATTATAAGATTTTTTAAAAGTCTGATGATCAGAATCTTGTAAGATCTTAATTTTAGATCTTTCATATACAATTAGTTTTGTGCATTTAAATAAGTACTAATTTAAATTCTACCTTATTTAATATTGAAAATATCTTTTACGTAAAGAGAGTGATCGGTGAAGAAGTCACTCGACAGATAAATTAAGAAGTTCGATTATATAGCAGAAGTCGGTTTTCTTTTTCTTAAATTGTTTATTTTTTTTAAATTTTAGTTCATTTTACCAATCGAATTTAATACAATTTTTTTTCAAAAACATATTTATGTTTTCATTTAGTTTTTGTGATTTTTCGTACATAAATATCCATATGTGAGTAAAGATAAAAGACTTTCTCAAGAAAATAAGGTGATAGGACCTGAAAAACAGGTATGTAAATGGCGACGCTATTACATTCACAGTAGCAGTGGCAGCTTCTTTTTCATGAAGATTGTAAAATTGCATGAATTTACACCCAGTTTCAGTTTCTACAAGTCCAACAGTTAGAACTGTGGTAAATCTGATGGATTCAATCTAACTATGCAACTTTAGCACAGTGATGGAAGGTATTTTCGAAGACCGTAGTGACAGTGGCAGGTTTCTAATCCCAATGGACATCTGGGTGTTATGAAAAACACTGAAAAATAATATATAAATCGTACAGTACAATTTTATCAAAAAAGATGGTTTTAAGATTAGTATGTAACATCATACAAGATCTTATAAGAGAATTGCTTCACATATGCTAGATGTTAAGCATTAGAGAGCGACCATTTATAACCGAGAAATAAAACGAGTTCACCATGTTTTAATTGCCGCTAATCTATATACATAATTTTCAATGAATAAATTAACACGACTTTTTTGTTTTAATATATAAATGAAATCGAAAAGATCGAAAATTAAATCAATAAAAAGAAACTTTTAACCGATTAAGAACAGACTCCATTTTCTATTGAACGGTGACTCTTCGATCAATTCATTATATTTGACTCAAAATAATTACGTAAAAACTTTATGATAACCAAAAATCGCAAGACAATTTCACTTATTTTTTTAAAATAGAATGCTAATTTGCAAGTAAAACATTCTATGTTTGATCTAACTTGTATCTTCCAAGATTCATCTGCAGAAAGACTTCGACAAGAACATCTATGCAATTTAAGTATGGTAAGTTATATTGGGTAGAGATGTAGGCGGACAGGAAAATCCACCACCACCACGATATAAAAGACAGATACTAAATTCTTGAAAATTTTCGACATTGAGAATCAGTTTTCACGTACGTTCTTCTCTAATTTCTTTTCTATATATTTTGTTACATCATTTCTCCTTTTTTTCTATTTTGAAAGTTCTAGGTATTAAGAAAATCATAAAAAAAAACCAATAAAATACTTCAACCCGCCAACGAAAGCGTCAATTTATACATCCAATCTTGAGGCTTACTCATGGTATATCAAAATCGAGAACAACATTATTCCGGCAATGAGAAGGGAAGTAGCAAAAGAGAAATGAAAATCTTCTCGAAAGACAAGGGAAAAATTATCATATCAATGCACCATAGCATAAAGAAAATATATTCATGAAATGAAAAATGAAATAACCAATGACCTTTGTGGCTTCACAAGTCTAACATCTTAATATAAACAAAACGTTTTCATATCTAATAATAAATTAGGTGGTACCAGATATGTACCACTATCCACAAAGGATTCAACTGTATTTATTTCATTTAAGAACAATGAGTTATTTCGAGATAAGTTTTAAACTTCGTTTTTTTTTTCTAAAAATTTTATTGGACTCATAAGGAAAACAAGTTACAAAATCATTTCGACCCGAATACAGCCGAATACAACGTTGGAAATAGAATAATTATATAGGGAAGGATAATGTCAGCTGTTTTGCATATTCTATTTTGTTGATGTTTAGAATGTTGCTGAAAAGAAAAAAAGAAAATGAATAATTAATAGAAAAATTAATCGAATTCAATAACATACCGTTGGCGCCTTGAAAACGTTGACATTCCTTTAGAAGAAGAAAAAATACAGATAGTTTATAAAATTATGAATAAAAAGATTTTTTTTCTTCATACTTTCATTGCTTCCCAAAAGCCTTGACATTGTGATGAATCACCATTAGCTTGGTCAAGACATTTCATAAATTCTTTTTGATATAAATTACATCGTTCAGTAGTATATCGTTCATTTGGTGTTGGATATAATTGTTGAGCATTTGAACCAGTTGTTTCTTGAGTAGCAACCGGTTCATCATGACCACGCGATCCACCTAATAAATACAAAAAAGAAAAGAGTGACAGTTAAGGATTTATAAAGATTTTTTTTACCACTAATTGCAGCACCGATTGTATGCCCAACGGCTGAACCAATAGCAACACCACCAGCTGTAGCAGCCATTTGTGAGAATAAACCCGGTTGACGACCTTGTGGAGCCATCGCTGGTGCAGCTGGAGGTGGATGTGCAACAGCACGAGGTGGGGGTGGAGCTGGACGAGGAGCTCTGAAAAGAATAAATTTAAATAAATAATACAAATAATCAAATGCAAACATACCGAGAAGGAGATGACGAACGCATTCCACCACCGGATCGACGAGGCATTTTAATTTAATATAAATTAAATTATATATAAAGAAAAATCTATAAAATTAATAAGAAAATATTAATTATATATATATAAATCTGTCTGTAGGAATCATATGAGAAATAATGAAATAATATAAGTGCAACAATGAATATTAATGATGATGCAAGAAAAAACAAACAATTTTCTTGGCTCATGTACATGTCTGATCTGATTTATCCATCTATAAGTTACGTTGTACTTCTATTTGTTTATTTACCAGAATGTTCTTTGCCCTTTTTTTATGTTTAGAAAATTTTTCTTATAATTATATTTAAAAATAAATAAAAACAAATTTTATGTTAAAAATATTCAAAAATTCAATAGATTTTTTCAAATATAATTTTTCACCAAAGAGGCAACTGTCTCAAATATGATTGGCTACGATTTTTAATCGATAATAAAACTTAACCAAAAAAAAAAAAAAAAGGAAATTTTTACCCACAATACAATTAAAAACAGACGAAAATGATGACTACAGATTCATTAAATATTCCTATTACAAATCATATTGCAACTCTTCTTGATGATCTTATTACTTGGCGAACTATTGGCAATAAACAATCAGGTAGAAACAAAACTAGTTTCCGAATATTTATTTAAAAAATTAAAATCAATTTCAGATACACGAGAAACAACTAATATTCAACCGCATGGTGGTGCTTGGATGCCAGCTGATCGTTCATTCGATCGAATTTTATTTTGGTATTATTATTTATATTAATTAATATTATTAATTTAAAAAGAAAAATTTCAATTATCAATTTATTTAGGCGTACAATTGAAAAAAATTCTTTTCAATTATTTGAATATTCAATGTCATGTAATCTTTTACATAATGCTCTTCAAATTCAATTCGGTATGCCAACAACTGTTTTACCAAATGTTTTTATTGTTGAATTACCTGATCGACAAGAAATTTGTCTTATGCTTGCAACACATATTGGTGTTTATCGTTGGATTTTAAAACATCCAACTATATCTAATAATGAACAATTAGTAAGAATTTTTATATTATAAGTCTCATAGCGATATTACTTCCCTAATATCGTGATCTGTCCTCATACGACAATGCCTTCACGATTATGACGCGTTTTGTATTATATTTAATCTATGTTCAAGGTTTTTTATTAAAATAGTTGTAAAATATTTTTCACTGAGAAAAAAAAGGATATCGGAGATAGAACCGGTCATCGATCGGTCTGCCAATAGATCAGTCATTATCGTTTATTTATTTTTTGCTTTTATTATTTCATAGATGGTGCGTTATCAAACTTTGTTAAAAATTGACTTCGTCAAATATGACTATCTACAGATGGAATAGTACGATAACTCGATAGTCGAGTATTTGAATTGGTTTCATAATAGATTTCGAATAATTTCATTTTTTTAAATCAAGCTTTCTCAATAGTTATGAAAATTTTGTATAAATTTATTTGTATTGTTCAATGAATGTTATCTCTTTCATTTTTAAAACTAAACATAACTTTAAAAGAAACAAGCGAAACTTCAGTAATCTGAAGTATGGTGAATCACTAGTGAAATATCATACTTCGAACTATTTAAGTCTCGCTTTTTTTTCATCATTAGTTAAATGATAATTTTCAAAGTTGCATTCAATAGTTTATCAAAACTATCTTTAGGTGTTTAGAAATAAAAGAGACAATATTTATTTTGAACAAAATATATTAATTCGAACCTATGCAAACACTGTGAGGATATTGAAGAAGAGCATAAAGCTGAGAGTAATCTCTACCGTTAATTTTAATATATATGTTATATTATTGTTAATGAATTTCTAAGAATTTACATTGAAGAATCAGTATGACGTAATTGTTAGGGAAGAAAGTGTTATGTATTTATCACTACTCTATCCGTTTATATGCAGATTTTATTTCGTCAAGAAATACTAAAATAGATTTTAAAATATTCTGATTTCAACATATAGATCGCTTTGACTCTTGATATTATGTAGTAAAATTTTGATAACGAAAAAAGAAAATTATCGTTCTTTTATTTAATAAGGAACAATCTCAATCAATACTTACGGATATAACAGATGATTATTTAATTAATCGAAATCATTTTTATCGACAAGATTTACAATTATATACCCAAGTAACTTGTGCTTATACAAATGACCATCTTATTTATGCTTTATTTAATGAAATGGAAACAATTATTCTTCGTTTTGATAATCAAGATTATTTAAGTAAGCTATTTATAAATTAAAATTAAAGACAATATATATTTTTTCGTTTTAATTAATATAAAGACTCACCACAACAATTAACATTTCCAAAACGACAATCGGCAGGTTTATTTAATTTTCTTTGGAATCCAAAGTAAGTTATAAAGCTTCTTCATCATCAAAAAATGTCAATTCTCATCAGAAAAATCAAAATTGAGATAAATTCTCGATATCTAATCTTTCATAAATCATATGATCTTTCATTTTACATGTTGCTTTTTTTTGGAGGAAAAACGAATTTTTTTTCTCTGCTTATGCTTTTCTGATTACACATCCTAGAACTCTTGAAGAAACTTGCTTGTAACTAATTACTTTTTTCTTGTTTGAAAGAGCATGTGAAGTTGCAGTTACCATTTTTGAACTAAGCTTTTGCTAAATATGTTAATTGTGATCCTTGGTTGTTGACTATCTTTTGAAACCGTAATGATATAGAGCTGAAAATTTCATACGATTTAAATTCACTTGGTCCACGATCGATTTTTGACGGTGGCTTAACTAACAAAGCAAATCTCAAATAACTAATTGACTATTTTTTTTTTACTTTTTATACAAGTAAATCAATATCATCTAATCAACAAAATCAACCATTGATTGCTGGTCAAACGACAGTCATTTATAGTGCGATGACAATGACAATCATACTGTATGATAATGGTCTACTGCGATTTTTGTCCGATCATGTAAGATGTTTTGTTTATTAGAAAACTCAAATATTTCTAAAAAAAAATTGCTTTGTGACAATGGCATATTCAATTAGAAGAGCATTATAAGAGTATATTGATAAAAGATATTTAGTCCAATCGTTAAAGCTAAAATCATAATAGTGAACATATTGGAAGTAAAAATGAATTTATCTTTTGATAAATTGTGTGCTTGTTTTGAATAAAACATCGTATTATTATGACGCTTAACGTCTCATACATTTTCGAAATCGATTAGAGTGCGAATGACTTTTACACAGTTGATTCGATGCTATAAAAGATACAATAAATTGGTAACGATCGAGAATAGAAAATGAGCATATGAAGAAATTTTGAGTAAAAGACAAGCAAATTTTTGTAAAGAAAACTCTTTATTGATTAGAAAACATTTCCAACTGTTCATTCACTTTTAGTTTGGTTTTCTGGCCTTTGTTTGTCAAATTATGGACGTTTCATTCGACTTTTACTCTATAAGTATACGATCGCTGAGAATCTCTTGAATAAAGATATTTATATTGAGACATCTTCTTATCATGGAAACGTATTTGTTTTGAAAAAACACGCACCAAAACAGATATTTCTAATGACTGTAAAGCCTATATATGGAGAAATTTTCAGTTCGAAACTCGACGATCCCCGGATTCTCAGCTATCTTATGCTCATAGGACAAACACTAAGTAGAACGTCGATAACTCGATAAGCAAAAAGCAATTACATAGTTGAGAATATTTTCTCGCTCCTACTTGAAACTGACCAGCTTCTTTTCGACTGAACCGACTTAAACGGCGAGAAATTGGTGCACTTAATATATCATTTAACTAATCAGTTCTTTCGAGAAACAGTTTATTATTTCAATTCTATGAAGATATACAATGTAAAACTCATATAACTCTTGAAGTTTCTCATATATAACAACTTCTATCTTAGTCTGTTTGTCTATCAGCTAACAGCAACCAACATCTATACTATGCTTTAACTGACTTTTTTCAACAATGATATTATTTGTTTACAATTAAGAAGATTGATCTATTCTTATTACGTACGGTTTTTATATTAAACTTTGTATTTAAAAGTTTCCTAATATCGAAGTATTTTCACAGGTGCATGATGCGCTAATAGTTGATAAGATTTTGACAACATAACGGAATCTTTTCTGATACTTTGCAGTGAAAACTTCAGCTGAAAACTTCTAACTATTGGGATTATATGTGAGTCGGCTAAAAGTAGTCTAGAAATATGAGCGAAAAATTTTGAGTTGAAAATTCTTTAGTTTACACTGAAATTGACTTCGAATACCTAATTAACTTTTCGTGAGCATTATAAATTCATTCAGCATGGTCCGAGGATCTCGTCATATGGTGAGAAAGTGTTAGATCAACATAACAATGGAAATATGTCAGCTTTAATGTCCTAGATATTAATAAAAAATCGACTGGTTCGATTCCAAGTGTGTTCTCGCTAGTATAATCTTTAATTTCGCTATATGAACTAGATTAATGTTTTTATCCAACATGTGAACGGCATGTGTTCAAAGTTCGAGGTTAATTCAACAGATTCAATAATAAATCTTAAAATACATTTTCATTAATTCTTTTGTTTTTTTCAGTTGGATACAATTTTATATGAATATAATTTATCAGTTGATCTTCCTCGTTTATCATCAAAAGTTCCAACAAAAATGTTTTTAGATTATTGTCAATATGAAACATTTTCTGATGAACTTGTAACACGTTTATTTGTAATTATTGATTCAAATGATCTTCTTCATATGCTTATATATGAATTTCAATATGATCAAACAAATAATTTTAAATATTCTCTATATCAAAATAAATCTTATACAAAAAGTATTCAATCCAATGATCATTCACATTTACCAAATGGTTCATCATTAACATCAATAACATGTACAAATGATAGACTTATATTACAATTATTAACAAATCAAAATCGTTCAATACTTTTATTAATACAATATGAATTAAAAACAAATAATCGTGAACAATTTATTGAATTACCAATGGATTATAATGAAAAATATATAAATGATGAATCAACAACAATTGATGATATTGAACGAAGACTTAATTCACCAGGACAATTTACTATTGATATGATTAAAGATGCACTTTGGATTACATTTAATCTTAATTTAGATGAATTAAATCAATCATGGATATCATTAACACAAATTCTTCAACAATTACCAATTATTCTTCAAAGTTTGGTAAAAATTCATTTTATTTCTTTTTTAATAAGTATTTGAAATCAATTTAAAAAGAACAAAAACAAAACAACTCAATTTATTCATGACTATTTCATTATTTTAGTTTGACAATAATTACACTTTTTTCCTTCGATGAAAACAAAGGCTCATAGTTCCTAGAGTCTATTGATTCCAAAAATTTTCGAACTCAGACTCGGTCAAACCGTACTTTGACACTTTGAATGAAATTTCCTAATTGGGATAGAATGGCCGTCCTACAGATACGAGATACTTTTTTTCGACTTTTTGTACTCGACGACTACTAATGCATCCTATGCACTTCTTGGACGCGTGGTCTGAGAAATGTATACTGTAGAGTCTATATTGGCTGGCTCCAGGACCATCCATTTACAGCGACGATGTCAATACTGAAATAATCACGAGCATTGACTCAGTCAGAATATTTACATTTTTATATTTTCAATTATAATTAATAAGATAAGATATTAAAATGAGAATCTTTTGCTTCGAAAAAAAAAAGTAAGTAGATCTCAAAACTTAACATAAACTGTAGTTTCAAATGGTCATTTGAGTTTTTTTGTTGATGAGTCCTTTTGATGACCTACATTTTTCTTTTATTGGAGAAAAACAGGTTCACAAAAGACGAGTTTTATTGCAACTAGAAAAATATCCGCATTATAGAAAAAAGCAAAACTAAATTAAGAAAAAGTAAGCTTCTTAGTATAAGTAGCTCAGATGAACGAACAAATAATCCTCTTCGAGTTAATTTAGTCTTGCATGTAAGATATAATTCAGTTCATTGTTTTCTCAATCAAAGATGCATTCTGAATGGAAATATTTAAAATGTCACCGATGAAAAGAGATATGTGTAGGAGTCAGGAGAACTAATAATGCTTTCATTTGACAAAGAAGAAACTGAGAAATATTCGGCACATGATTTAACAGTTCTAACAGTGATGAAAGATAAATTTTTGATTCAAATAACACACTTGAACTTCATTCCCTATTAAAAGAGGTTGTACTCTCTTTGTTATCAGTGTATTCATTTATTCGTACAACTGATAAGAATAACGTTGACTATAAATCTAAAAATACTTAAATGCTCAATTAGCTTTTATGACTGATTTTTTTGCAAAATAAACCTTTTATTGATTTTACAATGCGAATATTTTATTTCAATTGATGAAAGAGAGTATCTAGAATTAAGATGTAACAAAATCGTAGTCAATAAACGTTAATGTTAATGATCGACACTATCACATTTCTGATTATAAATAGTAGTTTGATCACGAGATTGATTATCATTTTCGGGTTGACACTTTTTACTTTGTTGATTGTTGTCTTAAGAGGATACACTCTTACGTGTCAGTTCGATTTTGGATTGAAACTTGCTACGTCTTGTAGACTATGGAGATCGAATGTGTTTATTGAATTTTCCTTGTAGAACTCCATTAGTACTAAGACTATACTTTTCGAATATCGGCTTGAAACTTTACTCACACAAAGGCCTCAATTAGACTAATATCCTCATTGGATTTAAAGAGGAGTAGGCATAAGCTCAATAACTCAACTATGCCAACGGTCAGCGACCTATAGTTTTCAAAAATTCAAATAGGAGAAATCTTGGCGTCTTTTTGTCTCATACGACATAAGACAAAATTATTTTTTAAACACATCATCTTNATAGGGTCAGGTCTTTACACCCTGCAAATTTAAACATAAAATGTTCTAATTTTCATCTTCAAAAAGAGTACTGTTTTAAGTGTCAAAAATCGGAAATAGATTGTAGACGATTTTATCAATTGATATTCAAAATCTTCATCTATGGATATAAATTCAAATGAAAATGGTAGAATAAAAATAAATAAAATCATCATTGGCAAAGTATATCTGTATTTCTTACTCACTGTTTGCTGCATAAAATTCATCTCCACGGTGTTATCGATGACTGAACTTTATTTTCTTCAAATTATTATACTCATGAGCAATGACAGCAATTTTTATTGAAAAAAAAAAACAAAGATTTCATCTTGAAAATAGTAATTCAATAAATGTATCAGTGCCTCGAAGTCATATTTTTTAAATGCTCGAACAGTATTGTTTTTGAACTCGATCGAAAAATACAATCAAGACAGTGTATTGGCTTTGCACAGTACCCTATCTTGACCTGTCTGATCTAATGAAGCAGGGCAAAATATCACCCTGTGAACATGTCTGGGTCATAGGAAGCAATGGATAGCATGTTCATACACATTGAGTTTTCTTATAATTCACATTTTTGAACAAATTTGTCTTATAAAAATTCTTTCTATCAGACGTTTATGAATATTACGAGTCAAGAAATCAAAATATCACAAAAAACCAAGTACAAAAATTCATGAATTTTAATATTGTCCACGGATTTCAGCATTAATTTTAGTTGGAGAGCTAAAAATTTGTAAAATTAACAAAGTACTTAATCTCTTTCACTTCGATCATTCTCCAGAATATTATGGACGAGGGAACTGTCATGAAGGAATCTACCTTTGTGAACTTGGAATGTTTCGTTATTCTCAAGAGAAATTCCAGTGTTTTAAGCTTTTTTGCTCGCTTCTTTCCGTAGAAAACGCTCAACTCTCTCCTTTCTCAAAAAAAAATCCGATCGATGTCCTCCTCTTTCGAAAAAAAAAAAACATCAACCCTAACAAAAATTTTGAAAATTAATCTCCTGAGTAATCAACCTTTCGCAAAATCCTGGTGAATTCGAAACATTCTTAGCCATTCTAATGACATGAATAACCTTCATAATCGTAGCACATTCTATTATGAAAAGAAAAAAAGGTTATACTCTTGTTAATCACGACCTTGCAAAGGTCTACATATTACGACTGAACTTTGTCGTGTTTAAATTGAACTGATCAGTTAAAAAAAGAATAATCCTAACTGATTTGTTTTTGAAAATTCTAATGATTGATTCAGCATGTTGATAGAATGAGAAGAAAATCAATTCGTCAGCAAGAAGTTATTCATGTTGAGAAAAGCGCTTTTCAAACTTATTAATAGATTCTATCATTCTGTATTTTTATTCATAACTATACTTGATAAAGTAAAAAAAAAAAAAAAGAATAATAATCGACAAATAGAAAGCATAATCTTTTATAAATCTACAAATGTCAAGACTAATGCCTCATTTTCATACTTCTACCTAAATATAGACCTTGTATAAGTTTTATAAGATTAAAAATCGATAAAAGCGACATCGTGCTACGTTTTCAATTTGCACCAAATGAAATCATTGATATTATATGTTGATAATCTCATTCGCACCTTCGTTTTAATATCAGTGATACATGCATAGAGACGATAGAAATTATTTTATTCGTTCGAATAAAAATAAGTGAATGTTTGATCAGAAATGGTTTTTCCGTGATACATACATTATTTTGTTCATTCAAATAAAACTGTGATCATTCAAAATCAATTAAAAATGATTGATCACATTTTGTTAAATATCATGGTCTATGTTTCTATTTTTACTATTGAAACATGTAAAAAACTAGTTAAACTGTATCGAACTTGATCATTTATATCATCTCCTATCAAACAATAATTGATAAACTGCTCTTCATTTGACCAAATTTAAAATTCTTTCAAGCGAAACATTTCAATAATAGTCTATAAAATGATACATTCTTTTGTCATGATAACTGATATCATTGACCAAACTATGTCAAACGATTCTTTTTGTTTTTTTTTTCTTCATACATAAAATGATATGATTAGACAGTTTATTAAGATTTCAATTGTCAAAAAAAAATGTTCATCAATAATTCTGTTGTAACTCAATCTTTATATCAAATAGGAAATATTGAAAAGAAAGAAAAACAGACAGACATATTCTACTATCACCCCACCGAAGCACGCAATGACCAACAGGCAACAATATTGTAACAAGCCGACTCGATTGAAACAACACAACATGAAAGATCACGCATGATCTAATAAAAAAAAAAGAGTTGAGAGAGAAAGAAAAAGAAGAAAAATATATAGAGTGAACTCGAGAAATTATTTTTTTCTTTTTTCTCTTTGCCGCTCTCATGCCTATATATACGTTGCTTGTTTTATACTTCTTACATTTATTCATATAATAAAATACATATATCTCAATTGTTCACGTAATTATTAAGTAAGTTAAATAAAATTAGTCAAGTTATGTTTTCTTTTTATTATTATAAATTTCTGGTCCAATCAAATTTTATTTCAAATGAATAATTAACTCATTAAAAAAGAATGAATTTTTTTTTCTTTATTCTTAGATTTCACTTGTAGGAAAGAGAAAAAGAAATACTATCAGAAGGTATTATTTGATAAGCCTTTTGCGCGATTACATTTCTTTCTCCTCTCGGAACATATCAACCTTGAAATTATACCTAATTTTATTCTCCTATTAGACCCTAGAGAAGAAAACGCACACACACACTAATCTTCTCTTTTCCTTCTTTTTTTTTTCTGCTCGAGAGACTTTGCTTAAAATCTGATTGGTGAATAATAGTTTGAAACAATTGACCAATGAAAAAAAAAGATACAAAGTTTTTTTTCTCATTGAACATCGCCTGACATACATCTAACCCGGTAGTTAATCACAGCGAGCTCCAACAACAACAACAGAAATTAAGCTTCACTCTCTTTCTCTCTGTCTTCTTCCGTCTTCTAATTAGTTGAGAAAAAAAAAGAAGAAGAAGAAAAAAAAAAGAAAAACGAGAGTGAAATAAGACAAAAAAAAAGAACTTTCTCTCTTTCTCTTTGTCGCTATCGCATCAAGACTGAGTTTTCGCTTTGCATGATCTCTATCATCGATCGTGTGTCTACAAGTTGAAGTTGTTGGTGTGTATGGTTCGTGCCGAAATTGAAACAAGCCGCACAGTCTCGCGTCGATCTTAATTATTATTCCTTGTGTGACACACGCACTTTTTTTCCCGTTCCAACTACGACTTTTGAATGCACCACTCCGACAAGTGGTTCTGATCAGGCAACAATAAATATCTACACACACACACACACATATATATATATATATATATATATACATGTATGCAACGAAGCGTCGTCGCAGAAATACAAAAAAGTAAGTTAAACACGAAAGAAGACGACATACACGAGATCAATCGATGAATACATGCAATAAGATGATCTTTAAAAAAACTATAAGTAAAACCTTTTTTTTATTTTTGTTCCAGGAAGTGCGTGAGATAAAAACTTTTTTTTTACTTTTTTATTGAATAAATTTATCTTTATCTTGGGGTTCTATGCATGACAAATAAGAAAAGAGAGAATAGCTAAGATGAAACTGTATAATCAATAATTCTTTTTTTCCTTTTTTTTTTTTTTTTTTTTTTTTGAATTAATAATTAATAAATTTATTTTATTTAGTTATAAAAGTCCATTAAAAGAAAATCAAAAAACAAATCCAAGTAAACGTCATCGTGAACGCTTAAATGGCGAATTAGAAAACTTAGCATCATTATTACCATTTGAATCATCAATATTAACTAAACTTGATAAATTATCAATATTACGATTGGCTGTTAGTTATTTACGTGTTAAATCTTATTTTCAAGGTATATATCTATAAAAAAATTTTCATGAGAAAATAAACATATATCCTACTGATTCGATAAGTCTTAAGATATATGAATAGAATTTTTTATTAATACGAAATTTCACGCTACATAACTTGATAATCACAAGACAAATGACGTAAAGAAAATGTTGATATCCCTCGAGGCAAAAGCAAAAGTAACTCTGTTAATTGAGTGTGAGTGTATTTCTTTGGTTTTTTTTTATGAGTTTCTCTGTGCATCAAAAACTAACACTATTTGTCGTCAATTTTATTTGATGTGTGAGTAATGACAGTGTTTATGTTTGGAAATTGACTGACTGACTGACTGACTGACTGACTTTTTATCATTAGTGATCATCTCGCGTGTCAGGAGAAGAAAAAAAAACGAGCGGGTTAGTCTTTTACTCTGCGAATAGTCAAGATCAATTATGGGTGGAGATTCGGAATAGATAATTATCTTGACTTTTGTCTTTTTAATCTTAGCTACATTTAAAAATCGTCAACATCTACAAACTCAACAGCAACAATATGAAGCTACATCATCAACAACAAGTTCATCAACATCATTAGGTCTTTGTCAAGAGATATATTATCATGATCCGACATTCAGTGAAGGAGAATCAATTTTAGAAGTATAATAGAAAATTTTGGAAGAAAAAATTTCGTGTTTTTTTTGTTTGTTAAGGCTTTACAAGGCTTTATTATTATTGTTAGTTGTGATGGTGAATTATTTTTTGCATCAAGAACTGTTGAACAATATCTTGGTTTTCATCAAGTAAATATTATTTGATAGATGTTCTCCCTGATGACTATTAGATCATCAATTAATAAAATTAGATGAACAGTTTGTTATGATCACGCTATGATTTATTTCAATAGAATAAATCAATTCTGTTTTATTTCATTTTCTATGTCAAAGAATAATGAAATTATCTTCTTTTTTTTTTGTTGTTTTTGTTTTAGTCAGATATACTTCATCAAAGTGCATTTGAATTAATTCATTCAGAAGATCGGGATGAATTTAAGAGACATTTACAATGGAATGAAAAAATTACGACTGAACATCAAAATTTAACATTAGAACAAATATTAACAAATTCCGGTAGAAACTTTTTGTTTTTTTTATATTTTTAAATTTACTTTTTTTTTCTTCATGTAGAACATGATCATCTATTACAAAGAACATTTACTGTACGATTTCGTTGTTTACTTGATAATACATCAGGTTTTGTGGTAAGAATAAAACCAATAGGAAATCTCAGATTTTTATGATTATCATAAAATGTGTTTTGAAGTTCATTTTTAATCCTTTTCTGCTAGGATGTTTTCGAAGAGAGCCAAATACCTTTCTTCCTTAAATTTGTCACTGAATAAAACTAGTAGTTCATCCATAAAAATTCTTTTTTAGACTTCACCACTAAAAACAAATCATTTTATTTTATTTTCACAGACATTAGAAATAGATGGACGAATAGGAATTTTATATGGGCAAAAGCCATCACATACATTGGATGATCATCGTTCATTAGCATTGTTTGGTATTGCTTGTCCATTTGGACCACCATCTTTATTTGAAATTCCTCAACGTGAAAGTTTATTTAAATCAAAATATCGTTTAACATTAGAACCTGTATCATTAGATCCAAGGTATTGTTTTAACTTTTTTTTGTTTTATTTTGATTTGATTAAATTTCGAACTTTGTTTTTAGAGGAAAATTAATTTTAAGTTATACAGATCATGATTTAACACAATTAGGTAGTGGATATAATTGGATACATTCAGATGATTTAAAATATTATTCGACTGCACATAAAGAATGTAAGATAAAAATTTTCAATCGACAAAAAAACAAAAAAGAAAAGGAAAATTTTCTTTTCATTTTAGTATTAAAAACCGGTACATCAGGACTTGTTTGTTATCGTATTCAAACTAAAGATGGTCGTTGGCAATGGTTACAGTCATCAATGAGAATTATTTATAAGAGTAATAAACCCGATTTTGTCATAGCAAATCATCGACCATTAACGTAAGGAAAAGAATTGAGAAGAAAAAAAAAAAGAATTGAGAAGAAAAAAAAAAAGAATTTTTTTTAAAAAAAATTCCGGAAGAAAGAAAAAAGCTTCCGCTTTAAATACAGTCCTATAAATGAAATGGGCGGTGTTAAAAGATAAAACGGATGGGAAAAGACATATTGCTTTTACTATACAAGAAAGCAAAAAAAAAAGAAAATATCCATCTGTTTTATTTTATTCTAGTGATGATGAAGGTGAAGAATTATTTTATAAACGTGGAACTGAATTTAAATTACCATATCCATGTTTATATGATTTTGATACAAATTTTAATTCAACTATAAATGATGATGAAAATTATACATTAAAACATCATACATCATTAATTAAAAATTCAAATACTAATTTATCATTAACAATAACAAATAATACACGTACAACAAAAAAAAATTCTAAAGCAACAATTAAACAACAAACAATTAATCCATTTACATCAAATACATCATCACCATCAACATCATCATCATCATTTGATCCATATTATAATTCATATCCATCAGCATATGTTTCATCATATCCAACTGATGTAACAACAGCAAGTTTTATTGAAGCTGCAACAAATAATTATACAACAAATACAAATAATCAAAATGATTTATTATTAGTTAATGATACAAATCCATATAGTGGAACATATTCTAATTATTATGCAGCTGCATTACAACAACAATATCAAAATAGTTTAACACCATATCATGCTGTTTATTATCAAGATACAAATAATCGTTATTATACTAATCATCGTACATCACCAATAATCAATGAACAAAATTATCATCAACATCAACAACATCAACAACAACAACAGCAACAACAACAACATACACATGAAAATTATTTAATTGATACAAATAATTCAAATAATCCATATTCATATTATTTATATAATAAAAATCCTCCAATTACAAGTCATGGACATGATTCAAATAATAATCTTTCTTTATTTGATGTTTCTGTACCATCACCTATTCATCATTCTGTTATAAAACATTCGACTAAAAGATAGTCGAAATCAATTTCCTCTTTTTTTTTTCTTTTTTTTTTTTTTGTCTTTTCCTCATTTATATGTATGTCTATGTATGTTTCAATGATCTAATATACATTCACCTTTTCTTCAACCATTCAAGCGTATATGTATTCACTCTAATCTGATTATAAATTGGTGATGTTTTGTTCTAACCAGCTGCTCATATAATTCAACATTTCGTTATTCACCTGCATAATATGCGTTTAGTTAAAGTATTGATGATGAGTATTTTGAAAGGCAGGTGGTTGACATGCCGCTTATCATTTTTTCTTTTCTTTTTTTTTTTTTTGTTGTTAACGATCGATCGATGAACAATTGCTCTCTAAACTAATCTGTCAATCATATTCTCTCTGTTCAACTTCAAGTCAACTTTATGTACTACTTTTTTTTTTTCAATAATGCCAGACGTTCTAATTGGTAAAATACGTTAGTCGCGTGTTCAATTGTAATCAGAAAAAACAAAACTAGAACAATGACAGATTGTCAAAGTAAAACTTCTCATTCGAATAGAATAATAAAAAGAAAAAAATCGAATGTGCGTGATGAATAAATGTAATATACCTTGGGAATCAAATGATGCTCTCTTTTTTTTTAACCTCCTGCTGTCTATTGACACTCTAATTGTGTGACGTAATTATGACTCGAATGTGGGTGTTGTCGTCAATTTATCTCTAGCACCCAACAGAATGACTTACTCACTTGGGCGGGATCAGCAGACATATATGTGTGTGTTTGTGTGTGAATGTGTAAAAATTTTTTCCATTTACACAAATCGAAATCACTTTTACTTTTTTTTTCTTATTTTAGTAAAAGAATTGATTGGAGATTTTTTCATTTTTATTTTTTCTGAAGAAAAGATCAACTGATAGATATTTAACACGCAATTTATCCATCTGGATAGTTGATAAGTGAACATGTGTGTTGAATGCTGAGATCTAATTTTCGCTTTTCGTTATTGTCCGATTGTCATTATTATTTATTGAAAAATTGTCTATTCGATGAAGTGTCATCGATTGATAACACATTGTTTAGTTCAACGTTTGGTGATCAGTTCATTGTTGTTGTTAACACATTTGTTGAACTTACCGACTGAAATTATTCTATAGATGTTTTGAACTCAATTCTGACCGATTTGATTGCCGAAGGCAATCGGACGTCTGCTAATCGGGTTCGATATATATATATACATATAACATATATTGCTTATTTTTATGAATACTTGTTTGAGGACACACGTAATGTCTTTTTTACTTCTTTTTTTCTTCTTCGTTTCGTGCGTGTTGTTCAATCGATTAAATGATGGTTGAATTCTAGTAGTCATTGATAAGCGTATTATTGCGCTTCATTAGAGCAAGCATGTACACATATATATAGATATACATATATATTTTGTCAGCAGGTGATCTGTACCTGGATGTTTGGTGAATGAACAATGTTGAAATTAGAGGAAGATCGAACGAACAAGATAAAAGCATATAGGTACAGCAGATGTGATATTCGGTTTAGATGAATAGACAATATGTTAATGGGTTTTCTTTTTATGTAATTTAAACAAAAAAAAAGAAAAAGAAAAAAAGATGAAATTCTTTTTCTGGTCTAACTATCAACACAATGTATTGATTTACGTGAAATATTTTTCATTATTCATTGATTTATGTGTAAATCGAATTTTTGTATTATGTAGTGCAAAAAAAGATAAGGTGACAGTTTTAAGCAGAAATAATCGATGATTGATAATCAAGATTCATGTTTGAGATGGTGTCAGATAGAAAAATGAAATATAAAAGAGTTTTTCTGTAGAAAATTGAAATAGTCTTAGAAAAAATTGTTGTTGCTCTTGGAAAAAGTAGAAGAGTAAAATTGAACTGATTAACACGATATAAGATTATTTTAGTAAACTTTTCGTAATGTTTATAATGGAAATTGATATATTCTTTTTCGGAATTTATATATTTTTTTGATAAATCATTGGAAGTGATGATTCATATAAACATAATGATCGATAGAATTTCACTGTTCCACATGATGAATTAACATGGGGGTTACATGTCTTGAAAAAAAAAACAAATTCACATATTGTCATGTCTCTAGAGTGATATGGCTTCGTTAAACTATAATAGATGTAGTCTCTTCGTTTGCTTTATTCCGACAGTGATCGATGACATTTAAGTAATTTATAAATAATCTTATTTAAATTTTACTAGATTTTAATTGAGTTAATTCGTTAAGTATTTATTCGAATAAAATCATCATTTAATTCTAAACATTGAAAATAATCAATCAGACTATTAATTAATGTTCATTTGATAACATCTAATCTATTCATAATTGATAATTGTATAGTAAATATATACTTAAAAATAAAAGTAATATTTGCATGAAAGATGATTTTTTGACAAATGACTGATTTATCGAAGATATAATAATTGAGAAGACAAGAGTTTATGATTGACTTTTTTCCTTTTTCTTTTGTGTAATAAGACAAATAAAAATCAATTAATAGAATTGATTATAGAAAAACACATTCGAGTAAAATTACTTTCAAGTAATCCAACACGATGTTCAATATTGTTGATTGAATCATTATTTTTAATTTATAAAAAATAAACTTAAATTAAATTACAAAATCAATTAAAGATTGAAAGAAATCATTAGAGTTAATTGAAATAGTATAACAGTAGGTTTTTGTCTGCACGAAACTAACAAAGAAATCATCGGTACAAAGTAAAGAAACTCTAACGAAAAACAAGCAAAAAAGAAATTAGTTTCCTAGAATCTCTTTTTGTTTTACTTTTCCTGTAGGAAATAGAGGAAGAGTTTTTGTTTGTATTTTTGAAAATCATATTAAATCCTATCTTAAAGTCAAGATTTGTAGGAAATAGATTTATGCTTTATTAAGATATGCAAATTGATGAAAATTCATATAAAATTGTTTTCAAAACAAAAAATAATGTCTCATAATCAACAGTCATGATGAAAAAAACTTATAAATGTAAAATCTGAAGTTTAAACTTAATAAAAGAATTTGTGAAAGTTGACAGTTTAAAATTCAATCATTTATTTACTTAAATCATATATTCAGTTATTCACTTCTTTTATGTATTTCTGTCAGAATTTCAATTTTGTGCTCAGTCCGTCGTTTTAAGATAAACTATCTTTAATAATTAGTAATTGTTATAGACTGATAAGTTTTACTTTTTTTTCTATATCTTTCTAGAGTGAGTACATTTTCATACAATGTCAAACAATAGATTTGAAGGATTAATATAGATGATATAAGAATAATTTATTTGAAGGTCAAATGGCTTTAAACTAAATGAATGTTCTTACTTCTTAATTGAAATATTTTCTCTACTCAAATATTGATATGAATATAGCTTCTATTATTTTTAGAACAAACTATTTTATTCTTGATACTAATTTAATTATCAATTAGGATACATGTTGTTTTTATGTATGGCTCTGTTTTGTTTTTAATTTTCTGTAAAAATCGATGTTATTCATACTACAACACTCGAAATGTTATCATATTTAGAAAGCACAAAGAAGACTGTTTTCTCTTTGATTTTTTTCCCTACAGTAAAACCTATTTAATAAAATGAATTATTATATAAAATTTTTTAGTTTTATAATATCAGTATAACTTTTCTGATATATTCTATTTTAATTTAATATCTTCATTGATAAAGGCAATCGCACACAATATCTAGGAATTCATCTAACGATACTTTCATCTGTTCCGAAGCTATATATTCATGATCTAGCAAGGAGAAGAAAAAAACTATTTTTATGTCAATACAATTGAATGTCATTATTTTTTCGAATTTAAAACTGAAAAAAAGTTTCGAAAATAAAATTTTTCCACATAAAGAAACATCATTGATTATTTCTTGTTCAAGATTTCTTAAGAAGAAAAAAAAAAAACTTCATAATAAGAATATAATTCAACATTTTATTATTTATTCTTATAAAGAATGATAAATTAAAAATAAAAGACTGACGATATAAAGATTTTGATAATCATATAGAAGTTATACAGAAACAAAGACAATAGTAAATTTTTTTTTCTTTTTTTTTTCCCACTAAACACCGAAGTGTACAAAAATTTAGATTATTGATGTTTTCAAAATCAATAACAAGTTTTTTTATAGCACATTTGTGAACAACAAGCAGCATTATTTGAACACCATGCTCCAGGACAATAACAACCAAAACCAACACCAATAAATGGACTTATTTTTGGATCACATTGAAAATGTGTCCAAACAGTTCCAGGTAATGGTGCTGCACTACCTTGTTGTTGAGGTGAATGAAAACGACCACTTTTTTCAAGTTTTTTATGAAAAAATAATACAGTTGCATCCGTTGTTGATGGAATCCGAAAAATAATAATTATTAAAACAAATAATAAAGACATATTGATTTTTTTTTCTTTCGAATAATTGAATAAGCAAATAATTTCTATTCTCAATTATGTTAACACCTTCAACTTACAATCATAATATCTAGTATGACAATGATTTAGTTAAGACTCAACAGAGAAAGAAGAGTAGAAAAAAAAAAGAAGAAAAAAAAAAATAGAAAAAAGAAGATATTCCGAATAGAACACAATAAAAAAAAGGAAATGAGACAGAATGCATTCCTATATGCATTAAGGCCAATGAATAGAACCTGAGATTCTATTGAATCAGTTTTATGGTTTTATGTGCGTAGTTTAGCCGCTATGTTCAATACTATATGTAATAAAACATAAGTCATACATATGTTTTTCTTTTTATATTTAAAACAATAAATTTAATCGAATAAAGTTTGTTGACTGTTTTTATTGTCTTTGTATTTGACTACCAATATTAAATATAGAAGTCGATCATCAGGATTTCTTTTTTCTTATTTTTTTGCTTTCGTATTTGATTGTTTGAAGAATCTAATTGTAAAAAAAAGAAATCGACAAAGATGTCAAGGCAAGAAGAAAAAAAAAAAGAAGAAAAAAAGAAATATGCCGTTGAATTATTTCCTGCCAAGTATGTTGTAGATTGTTGTATGCAGCTACCTCTTACGTCCGTTCGTTTATTTGCATGTAATCTTGACAAACGTCTTACATACTTTCTCCGATTACTATTCTTCGATTATTACATTCAAGCGTCACAATAGTCAATGATGCTTACATCAGGATGGAACAATACGAATAACATTCGTTTACCATTAGTATTATCTAATACTACAGGTCGGTCAATTTTTTGTTGAATAGAGAAAATTCTTTTTTGTTGATAATTATGTAGTAATGTCAAATGAATAAAAAAATAATTTATTCGTGCGTAAAAAAAAAACTTTTCTTATGCATTTATAGCATCAAAAAGAAAATTAATTAATTTTAATACTGAATAAAAAAGAATTTAAGATGATAAACAAAAAAAACAAATTAGATACAAAGAAAAAAAGATTTAGTATATTTTATTTTAAATTAAATTTTTATTTTGAAATGTTTATGATATAAAAGAAGTTAATATTAGCATATGTTACTAGGTGAGACATCTCAACGACAAAAAAAGCAACAAATAGAACAATTATTACAAAATACACCGCGTCGTCCAGTATCAAATGATAGTACTCAATCAATGGATAATGCTTATTCTCTTGAACATTTATTTATAGCATTACGTCGTCGAATACGTCGTATAGTGCAAACTTATAATGTTAAAGCATTTCATGATTCATTAAAAATTTGTGCACGTCTTTTTCAATCTTATGCAAGTTATAATTTAAATACAATAGATGAATTTGCTCGTCGTCTAAGTAAAAATACACGTGATAATAAGAAAGTCTTAACAATAATTGATCAATTTCGTCTTCAATTAGCTGAACTTCGTCATTGTCATTCAACATTTGAAGCTGAATTATTAGTTACAACATTAGCTATTGATTTTCATGAAGAGGATTCTGAACAACATCAACAACAACAACAACAACAACAACAACAACAAACAGGTTTACCATTATCAACAGGAAAATTTTCTCCACGAAGTCGTGTATCGAAATTTCGTGTTCGACATATACGACAAGCAACAGAACTTAAATCTCAATTAAAAAAAACAAATGAACAATTACAAATATTATTATTTGACGAATTTTATGCTAATGTATCAAATTTATGGGATGAAAGTGATAAATATATATCAGTATCAATACCATTTCATGATCATCATATGACATATGTACTTCGTCTTATACCTGATATTGTGTTAAAATTTGAATATGCTTTACAATTATGTACAAAATTATTTGATCTCGAAACAACAATGCTTGAAAGTTATTCACAAACAAATCGTTATAATAATAATAATAATAATAATAATAATAATAATAATACAAAAAATTTCATTGAATCAACACCTCTTACAATGCTACCAATAACTCCGAATTTGGATAATAATCAACAACAAGAACCTCAGGAAATACCTTTAGAATCTGATCATCAAAAAATGAAATCAAATAGAAATAAAAAAAAACCAATAGCATTTTTTTCAGCTGATGTAACAAGTGTTTCATCAGATTCATCAGATATTAAATTATCAAATACAATAAAAAGTCCACCGTAAGCATAATCGAATTAGAATAAATAGAAAAAAACAATAGTATTTGTTTTTTATTTAGAATTTCAATGCATCGTGAAGAACCATTAGATATAATAAGTCAAAGTGATGATAATCCAATATTTCCTCCATTATTTCCATCATCTGAAAAATCATTAGATCATAAAAATGATCTAAATAAACTTCAATTACTTATTGAACAACTTGAAAAACGTTTAATTGATGAAGAATTATATCGTAAACGTCTTCTTAATTGTGTCAAACTAACAACTAAAAAAAATGAACAATTAAATCATTTTCCAAAAAATAATATGTTAACATTAGTTATGTCGGATGAACCAGGTGTTGTTGAATATCAAAAAGGTCTTTGTTTAAGTGATTATAAAGTTCATAAAAGTGTCGCCGATGAATTAAATATTGCTATTAGAGAAACACAACATCGAATTGATTGGATTAATATGGTTCGACAACGAGCTCTTCAATGTCTTGGTGAATAGTATTATTTTATTGCAATTCAATGACATTTGACTATTACTTTTTTTCTTTCCTTTCAATTATTAGACTTTATATGAAAAAAAAAAAACTTTGTACAAAAGAAAATATTTCTTTGAAATATCATATATTCATTTACAATGATATCGGACTAGAGGACCTCTCAAGGTATTAAAATCTGTTAGCATAATGCCTACAGAATTAAAATGTAAAAACCTGGCGTGATTGTTGTTGTTAATCACAGGGAGATTGTTTGATTCTATCTATTTTGGGACACATTTCTTCTCTCTCGTTTGATTTAGTCCTTCGGAAATATAATAAGGAAGTAGTTAATATATTATAAAAAGTCGTTATTGACATGTGATCTGTGGGGAATGAGAGCGAGTGTGTAAATTTCTACCCTATATATTATAACATTCCTTTTATATCATGTTTCATAAAAATAATCTAAATTGAATGGAATAAAAGTTGTTTTCTAGCAAAAGTTATGAAATTCCAATTTAACTCTTGAATCTTAGTTTTGTCGAAGAAGTAAAAGCGTATGGGACGAAAACTTGTACGGTATTTCTCTTAAGTAGTACTCGTAATCTCTGTAAGTTTCAATTTAAAAACATAAAAATTTATGGAGAAAGAAAATTTACAAAAATTTCCTCTTAATTTTTTAGCTTTATAAGAGTTCAATCTTGAATTCAATTTATCAAAGTTTCTTTCAAATATTCAATTATAAAAGTATTAACTATTCAACTATTGATATTCTCTAAAGACCGTCGGATTGATTCCGGATCCGAAAGTTTTGGACTTGACAGGCTTTAATGGACTCTCTGAATAGATGTCCTATGTATGTGAAAATTCTTTGAGTAACTCATCAATAAATACCTTAAACTTTAAGTATTCAATAATGAATATTTTCCATAATCCTATTTAAGCTTCTATTATTGCATTGCATATATGATCAAGATCTTTCTTGCACTCACATATATCATTTTCTGAGGATATGTTATAGTTTAGAGTAATTTCGTTCTCTTGATTATATAAAATATTTGTGTGTATTAACTAAAAAAAATTGAACATATTAACATCAAGTTCCTCTTCTTCTTGAAATGGAGCAAGTGATAATAGAGCTGAGATTTTCTCAGACAATTGTTTCAGAAATAATTTCGTGAATAAGTTTTTCCTTTATTCATCTACTATCATTCGTTTCATATTACTAAACATTAATTTTTTTTTCATCGTTTTTTTTTGTGTTTGATATTTATGTACACTTCTAGATGGATGATATAAACGTCTCATTATAATAGTCTTTTCCAGATCGATGAAACAAATTAAAATTCTTATAATAGACGATTTGCTCTCGTTTGGAAATCCTATGGCAATTTTAACTCAAATGAATCTTTTGTCATAAAGCAGCGAAACATGACACGATACAAGATTAGAAAGGACATTTAAAAATAGTTTTTTTTTTCTCCATGAATCGTCATTTTTGTTAGCTGAAATTTTCACATAGTCATGACTATTATTTAGAAGACAACTCCTATAAATTCCTGTCATAGATGTTTTTGATTTTCGTTTCAAGAAAATTAAGATTTAAGAGCTAAATTGGAAATTTTATAACTTTTTCTAGAAGTAACTTTCATTCAATTCAATTGAAAATACTTCACTCCTAGTTATTTTATATTTAATAATCATATTCTCAATTGAAAAATATTTTTACATCTCGAGAGATTTCATCGTGAATTATTTACTATCTAAAGAAAAGCATACATAATAGAAAAGTTCTAAATAGAATCACTCAATTTGATTAACTTCTTTGTCGCTTTTATCATACTTGAGCGGAAGCAATTACGATCTCTCTTTAAAATATCTCGGTTTCTTTGTTCTGAATTATAACTTACGAGTGAACATTTTCAATTGATCAATCGCTTTCTTACCGACGACTAGTCGATCGTCAGCTGTCGATCATCTTGGTTCCGAATATGACCATGAAAAATCTTCTTATATCTTCATATTCTAATTTTTCCGACTAAAAAAGCGTTTTGCCAAAATCATTTTTGATATACTTCGATTATCAGGCACATCAAAATATCTGTAAATCAATAAACTTTTCTGTTTTCCAAAAATCAATTTTAAGCAAAATAATATCATCTTGAAGATTTTCACATTGAAATATTGATACGTATCTGTTGTATGAATTATAATGAATATATTATCTGTGAGAAAAAGAAAACCGATTTGAATAATAAAATGTTAACTGTTTTCTACACTATTCAATACACTCTATAATCAGAACAGAAGATGACAAAGAGATAAATCAGTTAAAAATATTCTTTTGTTGGAGGTATAGTTATAATTGTTTAATATTAAAAAGAGTAAATCCCTTGATGTCTCATCTTATGAATTGCGACATTTGGAAACAATGAAAGTCAATAAGTCATTTGTAATGTTTCTTCCTTTTTTTTTTTTTGTATAAAAATAAGATCGATTTACATATTTCTATAGCTGCTATATAAGTGAAATTGAAATTTTATCATTGTGATATTATGGTAATGAGAGCGTATGAATTATTTTGATAAAGTTGTAAGAAACTTGGCATTTAATTCAAGAATGTTCATATTATAAGGAAACTATGTAATGTAAATCTACGAAAATACAAAATTTACAGTTCAACAATAATCATTTTCTCTTTATTTATTAATTTTGCTTGTTTTAGAGTTTCAAATAAAAAGGATAAGGCAAAAAGAAAATCATACTAATAGAAATCTAGCTTAGTAAAAACATATTTTTTAGTTTTGAATTAATCTACGTAATTCATGTATTGAATTTTTATTCTTTGTTTTGTATTTGTTATTTCATCAGATATATCTTCAACTTATTCCAAGAATAATCCTGTACAGTTCAATAGAAATCAATTAGTTTCCATTTTCCTCTTAGGATTAAGAATCTATCAGACTTTTACTAAATCCTTCAATATGGAAAAAGATTGGAATCAGAAAATATATACTGCAAATATGACATATTCTCGTCATGGTGACTTTTCCCGGGAGTATTTTTTATGCATCGAATTCCAATTATTAATAAGTTTGATTATCATCCTCGAGTCCTTATGATTTACTTGACGATCTTATGTGTTCTAACAAGATCTGTTAAACATGTTTGGATTCTGAAATATTCGAAACTCAATAGAAACTATAAATAGTTGATATTCATGAAAGTAATTTTTTATATTGTATACTCAGTAATTGTAGTCGAAAAAGTAATAAAAAATCTCTCAATTTCTCGAGGACACACACACATAACAATCATTAAATCAGATATTTTTAGTCCGGTAAAGGGATGAAAATTTTTTTTCATCTAAAACCAAATACAATAATAAATCTTTTTATTCTCTATTATTATTCAGTATTTGTACTTCATACTTCAATAGTAGAAAGTCTCAGAAAATTATCCAATTTCATTCCCACATTGGTTTCTATACTATTCATTATCTTTTAAATAGAATCAATATAAAATTGTTTTAATTTTAATCATTATCATATACACTTTATCAACAAGTCTTAATAAAAAATGCTCGATAGTTGATGATACTAGATTATTAAATTAATTGTTTCGGTTTGTCACACTATTGATATTCTTTCAACGAATTCATTGCCTTGTCTCTTTTGAGGAATGTCTAAGTGCTAAATTTTTAAATGACATGCATTTAGCATCAACATAAATTGAAATAATAGTTTCGGTGAAACACTGATGAAAAAATATTTATTAATATAAACATCGTGTCAGGAATACTTTGGATTCTATTCGGTACAGAACAAGAACTCGATTATTTAATTTAACTTCTCGTTAGCAGCAGGTCTTTATTATTTATGAGTTCATTAGCGTAAAGAAAATAGTTTTTTTTTAGAATTTCAGATGATAAGACCAGTAAAATAAAATGTTGTGGAAGATGAAAATGTATGTTGTCAATATGAATAGAAACAATTATGTACATAACTTTAGTTAATCAGATCATACCTTTTCAATAGAGCCAGCCGGATCCAAAATTTTCTGACTCATGACCAATCCGACAAGCTCTAATTTTCAATAAATGTGACCTGCATTATAAAATATTTAAATAAGGAGGGTTGGACAACTTTTCGATCGCTGACAAAAATGAATATTTTCAGCGGAAATCAAACGCTCAGTGCAAAAATGCTCCGCTTTACAGCAAAAATCAGACTATTACGAACATCATACCCTACTAAACATGAATTTACATTGGAATAATGTTGTCTTTAATAGGAAAAATGATAAGCAATTTAAAAAAATGTTCATCTTGTAAGAAAAATGCTTTGCACCATCCTAATCAGTATGCTCAGTTCTACCGATCATTTATTCTATCGAAGACAACATTATTACAATGGAAATTCATTTTTAGTAGGGTACGATATCGGTATAGTTTAATTTTTGCGCTAAGCATTTTATTTCCACTGAAAATATGCAGTTTTTTCTAGCGATCCGATTGTTATCCACTACTGGAATTTAGTAATACAATTTGTTTAAAATATTGGAATAATATAACAAGTTTGATACTAAAAGAAACAAATGAAATTCGTCACTTGCGATAGTAATAAATAATTGTGTGTATGCAATAGAAACCATAGTGACCTCAAAAAGTAGAACTATCAAAACTAAAAATCGTATCTACAGCATCATGCTTATCGTATGACCCCAATGGATTCATACGCTGAATTTTTACACTGGAAACTAGTTCATCAAATTTGACCGCAACCTAATGTATCAACAAAAAACGTGCAATTAGAGAAGACAAGTGGTCCTGGAGGATAAGTACGAACGTAATAAAAAATTAAAAAAATTATAAAGTGCATCGATGTAAAACAGAGGATAGCTACGAATGGTTGAATAATCACATATACAAAAATACATTCTGATTTTTTTCGTCCAATTATTAGCGAAGAAGTAGTATTGTCAGTCGATCGGTTGAGCTGCTGTTGCTGTTGGTAGAATTTTCGAAATATCTCAGCCACTCTCACCGTTTCTGTTAATAGTACTTGAAAATTTCGAGCATCGCTGCCAGAACAAAATACTGGATTGAAGAATTTGAAAAAATGTCAACCTGCCAAGTCATTTTTCGAGCTTCTTGGTCTTATTTTCTTTGCTATGTATCCTCTATCATTATTTCTCTCTTTTTTCATTTGAAGCGTCCTAATAATGAAAAGAAAAGTTTAAAATAATCTTTCAAAAATTCAAGTTGCTATCGATCTATTATGTATTATATACACTTCTACACAGTAGTATAAATGCTTTATAATCACAAAATCAATTATTTTATGTAACGAACAACCGTAATCGTCATGAAACTTTCGTTTAAATGATGTTAGAAATCAACTAAACATCGATCAGGTAGTAGAAGAAAAGAACCTTCTAGAATGTTAAGCATTGTTGCAAGCTACTTCATTCATTCCATCATATGTTCTTGTTCTTATGTTTTTTCATCCAACAAGAAGAGTAAACAATTGCAGAAATGATAGCGTACTTAACTTATTCTCTTTTATAATGATAAAATACAGAAGTCAGCGCAACTTTTTGCTTTTAATATAAAATGAATTATTAATTAATCTACCATGTTTAATATCTTGATTAAAATTGACGTCACTCTTTCTTTTCGAATACAATATACAGGAAGCATAATTTTGTTAATCCCTAAGCAGATCTTTCACTATGAATTTCGAAGTCGATTGTCACTGATATGTGCTTACAGGAAGAGTGTTTTTCCAGCGCCATTATACACTTTCGCTTTCAGCTGTTATGGCAAAGTGGTTTCGTTGTTCGACATGTATCTATAAGGTATTGTGTTAGAACCTCAGTACTGTTAGCTATGAAATGGTCCTGATCAAATCATTTACAGTTATTTGTCTTGGATTGCATGTCTGATAGTATGCTGACTACTTCGTGACATACAACTGTTCTTATAGCTAATATGTATAGAGGAGCTGAAGTAACTAAACGCAAGAATTCTGCGTTACATCAATCTTCTTTGTCTAGAGCTACAGATAATTATAGTTCTGGAGAAGATATTAGACTATTGAATCTGTCACTACATAATACTCCATATTGCAAGATAACTGAAAAACAGATATTCGTCCGCACTTCTGTACCGTCGTTAACAAAACTGAAAAAAGAAGTAGTTTTTTTCTTCAAACAATAACAGCTACAATGTATTTTTGCATTCATGACTAAGTACTTACTTAAAGAATACTCATTTTTTTTATGGAATATTCTATAACAAATCTAAATCATATTATTTGTTCAATTTATAAAAAAAGATAATTTTTCGTTCATTTTAATGACATAAAAACGAATAAAATCTTGTTTTTTACAGTTTCTAATTTTAAAACAAAAGCACAAATGACAACAAAGAGAAACTGAAATAATATATAAAACAGAAAATAAAATATATTCTTTTGATTTTTTTTCTTGTTCATATAATTATATATCATAGAGTTACTGAACGAGTTGTTGGCAGCTGTCGACGTTGTGTTAACATACATCTTAGAAGTTCACGACGAAATTTCATTCCACAAAATGAATAAAGAAAAAAATTTATTGAATATGATGCATATGATATATGTTGTGTTATAACAGTCATAATATAAAATAATTCCATCCATTTTAAATGATTAATCGTATCAATTGGATCTGATGTTTCTTTGGTCATATTGCTAAAATCAATATTATTTGACAATGTTGATGACGTTTCATTATATTGTTTGATATTATCATTTAAATTTGTACCTATTTCATTTGGATCATTAACAAGTATTGTTTGTTTAAGTGTATAAATTTTTAAACCTATTGTGCATATATGCGCCGGTGCATTGAGTAAAAGAAAACATGTTGATACAAGAATAAGCATACGTGTTACACGATATGATTGACTTTTAAAACTTACGGTCGGTGAACGATGTAATAAATCTAGGGAACGAACACGTCCATTCATTGTGAGAAGATCACTATTTGAGTGATTTTGTAGATTTGAACTCTGTTAATTAAAAATGAACGGCTTAATGTATGAAGTTCATGAAAGATTAAAAATGTATCTTAGACTTGAACTCTATGATTTCATGTTTAAAATATTCGTCATATGATTCAAAAGTTTTTGCGTGTAGATTTCAACATCACTTATGAGGGAAGTTTCACAACTGATAAATCAGTTCTGAGTTGAGACGATGTGTGTCATATAGACCTTAATGAGTTATGAATATTCTAAAAATAGTTCCTCGGGTTAGCTTATCGTTGCTATAATAGTGCATTTTTTCTGTATGTTGTAAATTAAAGACGTAATTTCTTTGAGAAACACTAGAAAAAAAACTGATTTTCGAGTTTTCACTTGAAATTTTATATACAGATAGATCTTAAACAGAATAGTTTATTGTGAAAGTTTCATATTTTTTCGTTGTCCATATCGTAAGATAGAACTATGGTAAAAGTGTATCTTTTATATCGTTGATATGCATAAGTAGATACAATATTCTTATTTCAGAATAGGAACAAATCAAAAGATCTAAAATTTTCATAAAAAACTATTCTGTTAAAGGCTTATCTCTATGCACAATTTGAAAATCATTTTGTCTCGTGTTCTTGAGTGAGACCAGGATATTATACTAAGAACACCGTAGAAACGATGCATCTCAGCAGCAATAAGCTAACAGCACGAACTTTGTTCATTGCAATCATAACTTATTGAACCCTACATGATGTACATTGTTCCTACTCAAAAATGATTTATCATCTTGGGAAATTTTCTCATTAGTAATAGACTTATATTAAAAATGTCTTTAACTGCTCGTCTGACAAAATGTTTACTATGTGACATAGGCTTGCTGCAATTAATCTATTATGATATTCTTAAGACAATCACCAATATTGACAATCAAATGTCTATAAGGAGTTCAAGTGACTAAAAATAAAACTCTGTATTAAGTTGAACTTCTATCAACTGCTAGTTTATGAACTATTTAGAAGGTAGACGAAAATTTCGGACGCTTACCAACTCTAAGAATAATATTGAGCCTAGAGTTAGCAACTGTCCGGTTGGTCTTAGACTTAATCGGGTTCGATAATGTTGGATCTGATAAGGCCTAGTCGTCTAAGAAATGTGTAGAATATGGTAGTCACTGAATACAAAAAAAAACAAAAAAAGATATATGTCATATCTTCGGGGCGATTATCCAATTTCGATTAGAAAACTTCATTGAGAGTATCGAAGTACGATTCAATCGGATTCGAAAATACTGGACTCAATGAATTCTAATTACGAGAACTACATCTGATAGAATTTTATACCGCTTTGTAGTAATCAGAAAAGATCAATTTGTTTTGTTATTTTTTGATTGACAAGTAGAAATTTCGAACTTGATAATAGACAGTCAAACAAAGTTATATCTACTCTCTAATTTTATAATTTCTGTTTCTTTATAATATTTTGATGCTCTTTCTTGAAGTGTTTTTGCAGTTCTATTTCTTCATCTGTCGGCTTCTCTTGACATAATTTATGAACTACTTAGATCAATTATAGAAACTTTGAAAATTATTATCTTGACGATTTTTGCTTCTGCTATTAATGAGTAGCAAATATAATCTTTTATAATAAAAGATACCATGCAATTAAAAGTTTCATCATCATAATACAATCGAACCCGTACATTATGAGAGATGCACTTTCTCGTGATACTCAAATATTTTCCTGTCTGTTCAGTATGAATAAAGAAAAAAGAAAAGATTTCCAAGTCTTGTAAGCTTTAGCGAAATTTCTGCATATGACGCATGTTCATTCTATCTCTTTCAATTATTCATTTTATTTCTAATCAACAAATAGATTGAAGATACTTCGTTTTTCTGAAAAAATATTTTGCATTACATGTACCTTTTATTAATCTGTCTTTCAATTGATGATCAATAATTTATCAATAGAATCCATCGAGAAATACTTGCAATTAAGAAGATTTTTCTTATTAAATTCTTTTTACGAAATAGAAAAAAGTCAACTAGCACAAAACTATATTCAATACCCTAGAGTTTGATATGTTAATATTTTCATAAATATTTGGTTGAAATTTTGTATTGAATGTAATTTCATATCGTGATGAACATTGTTTAAGAAAATTTAATGGTATAACTTCAGATTGTTGTTGTCGTTTTGTAAAACGATATTGTTGATTATTTTGAAAACGTTTTTTTAAATAACATATAATTAATATATTTAATATTATTATTATTGTAAATGGTATAAGAAATGATAATAATGCATCTGATATAAACCAATTTAAATCTAATTCTTCATGACAATGCTCATATGCATTAGTTTTAACTAAAACTAAACAATAAATTATACCAAAAATAATAAATAATGTGACAACTAAATAATGTATAAGATGAATTCTTTTTTCAACAAATACACTTAAAGGAAATCGAACAGCTATAAAACGTTGAGCAGTAAATTGGGCTGTAAAACAAGCTGATAATAATTCAGCTAAATGAGAAAGAAATGATAACAAACGACAAAGTTGTGCATGATTTGATTGTGTTAAGTCATTGATACATCGGGAAACAAGTGTAAAATTAAATAAAAGATCAGTAAGAGCTAAAGAAGAAAAACAAAAAGGTATATATATATATATATTAAGACAGATTGTTATATTTGTTGATTTATTTATTTACCAAGAGCAATCAATGTACAATTGTTAAAATTTTTTGAAACAGATTTTGTTGACAGCATAATTATTGTAAGAAAATTTCCACAAATACCGACAACGGAAACAATAATGATATATGGAAAAGATATTTGTATCAGTTTATTTAAAACATTACGCATAGTATTTTGCTCTACAGAAGTATCGTTGAACATTTTTATAATATTTTGACACTTACTCAAAAAAATAATATGAAAGATAAACGAGAAAATTTAATTAATACATATGATCTAAAAGTAAAATTTTATTACTATATACAATAACAAAGATATAGTTCGAACGAGATAAAATCGAATCAAAAGTACAACAAAAAAACTTCCTTCTCTATATACAAACAATGTGCTTTACACAATATATTTGTCTCTATTAGTCGTTGTCTCTAATGCAATGATAAACAAGATCAGAATGGCAATAGAAAGGAAATGCGAGAGAAGAAAAAAGGAATTCCAAAAAGAAACGATAAACATTCTTTCTTATTGACAAGAATAACTAAGAAATATAGAGAAAAATAAATGGATCTACTTGTATTTATAAAGCCAAACTCTATTATTTATCCTACTTGAAATCTTTCAATAAGGTTTTAACCCTATTTAGGTCAATCCCTAATCTCAAAGAAAAAAAAATGATTCTATCTTTTCTTATTTATTGTTATGTAATTTATTATTATCTATGGAGATAATTCTCTGAGCAAAGCAAAAGAAAAATAGAATGAATATTTCATCAGAAATAACAAAGCAATTTCTATTTAAAAATAGAATATCTTATTTTTCTACTTGTAAAAAGAAATAATAGTTATCATGAAAGAAAAAAAAAGTGGAGATTCTAATCCAGTCACATTCAATTTGTTTCAAGCTCATCACGTATTTCTTTTTTTTTTTTAAATAAGTAAAAAACACAAAAGAAACACCGAATAACAACTTCATTCAAACATCTTAGCAAGAAGAAAAAAATTACATAAAGCTCTATCCCAGGGATTTTATAAAAAAAAAATGAATAGGAAAATCTTATCAAACTTTTTTTTTTTAATTCGACCTATTTCATTATTAAAAAAAAGTCCTCACCTTCACTTAGATTTATTTTGTCCTGTCTTTCAGATTACATACGAGCCGCTATTCTAAATAACAAGATATTAATGAGAAAATTACTAGCCTGCATCTGTTGCCAAAAGAGGTTTTACATTACTTATGTGTGGTTCTTCAATAAATCCAATAGTCCTATTTCCTTGTACAAAAAAAGGAATTTCACATGAGGCTTTTTCTATTCATGCCATGAATCTTAGTGTGTGGTTTAACGATATTTAAATTAACGAGGCTAATAGAGAAAGATACAAAGTTTAGATATAAATATAATATTCTTCTTGAAAAATGTAGATCTTGATTATTCTATTTCAAATACATTCACTATGTTTATTCAGACAGAAGTCCTTTATTCACTCTATGAAAGGTATGACATTTCAACGGAAGAATAAGCGAAAAAATTAGATGTATAGTTGAATGGATCGAAATCAATCAAAGTTGCAGGAACAATATGTAACTGCGGGTACGTTTTTTTTTTCTATATTTTAGTCATTTGATTGAAATAAGAACCTTATGATGGTCATTAGATGCTTGTTTTATCTCTAGTCTCTCAAATAATATGATCTTTACAAGTCTCGTCTACAGAAGCTTTATTCGAATTCGGCATTGACAATATATCCTAATCTGATGGTGCTAATTAAAATTAACATGCGTTAAAAGGAAAAAAAACATATTGGATGGATGCATCTAGCAGCGACTTTACACGATTGTGTAAACGTTCGAAAAAAAAACAAGAAAATGTCATTATTTGGAGTAAAATGCACCAGTTTGTAAAGAATAATCTAGAAATCTCATAGAGAGATGTCAGAATGTAAGAATTATTTTTTATAGAATAATGAAAAAGAACTATATTTGTTTTTATCAAAGGTTTATTTATATTGTGTTTACCTGTGTTTTGTCGAAATAAAAAATAAAATGCAACATACAAAAACAAATATCGTGATTGATGACAACTTAATAATACTCACAAAATTTAACCCTTGATTATCCGATGATAAATGACAACGGTGTACATTGAAGCGTAGAAATATTATCCCTTATTGAATGTAAATATTTTATGTAATAAACAAAATTCAAAACTATCATTTCACATGTTAGTAGAATGATTTAGGGATCATAAACAATAACAGAATATTAAATGATTAGCTTATTCTTTAGCTCATATTTTATTTTTCTATTCTACTATCGACACACCAGCAAAAAGTACAATCAGTAAATAGAATGGAAAATATAATTATTTCAAGAGTAGATTAACATGTCTCTCTTTATTGAATTATTTCATAGTCAGCCGCATCGATAAAAAACATTGAATCAGTCATTTCTAACTTGTCATAATGGATTTAGTATTTGTCGCAGCATAGTTAAACTGCATGTTCAAATATAATAAATCTAATTATCATAACGGATACTGCCAACAGCATGCAAGAAATGGTCTATGCAGTCCAGAAATGAAACTGGTCTGGAATTTTTATGATCAGTCTACCGACAAACACACCAGTATAAAATCTGTACTATTTCATCTCTAAAGAGTCTCATTTGATGTAATCAACATTCGAAAAAATTTCCTACATAAGATTATCTAATAAAAACAAGAAAGTACATAAATTAGATTGATGACCAGCCGACCTGAAATCCGTACCGAACTAACTTCACCGTCGATACTGATACTCATAAAGACTAGGATTAATTGTCATGATGGCTGATATGTATATAAAATATATGTAGGATTGTATGACTCTTATATTAATTCTCTTAAGTTTTGGAACCATCCCAAGTGAGAAAAGTTTTTATTGCTAAATTAAATTATTATTTACATTTGTGTCAAGGCTTCGAATGAGATGGAATTGAAGGGAAAAAAATATCTCATGGAATTAGTTAGTGTATCTCATCTCATTTCCTTCCATCAAACGGGTTCCATGAAACAAATTGTCTAATATCAAGATTTTTCAAGTCTTGAGTTGATTTTCATGACTTTCGTATTCTATCATCTGAGTTTTTCTCTATCTGTTCCAATTTAGGTTCATGAATTTCAAAGTTAAACTTTTACTCAAATTATGTAAATTCTACTCGTTTCTTCAAAAACAAAATTGTAGACCTAGCCTATTACTCATGTCATTAAAATTGCGTAAAAAATCGATAATCTTATTACAATTAATAAGGTCGATTAATCATGGAATTATATTGTGATTAACCTAGTTTTTTTTTTACTAAACTAATGAATAAGTAATTCTATTGAAGTTTTAACAAAAGAATCTCCAGAAAGTGTCATAAAAATTGTCCAGGAATCACAGCAGAGATCCCTTGAAAATTTGAAGGACTTTCTTAGGAGTATGGTACGTGAATTATGACTATTGTAAACTTCTGTATACGATGTCGTCGTTTTTTGTCGTAACCTTATGAGCTGCTCATAAACAAGAGGAGAGAATTTCTCTTTTCTCTCTCTCTGCAAAGGTAAAAATATAATTTGTTTTTCAATTATATTAACCAAGGAAATTATCGTTGATATTAATCGAAATAAAAAAAAATATACATAATTTATACTGTAAAATTATACTTCGTGGTGAAATTGCTGTTGAGATTAATCAAAATAAAAAGTACATAATGCATTTTGTAAAATAGTGTTTACCGTGTCATTATACTTAAAATTGATCTAAATGAAAAGAATACGATTTCTTGACAGAATGTACTTATAGCCGAAGTTATCGTTGATTAAAATATTTTCCCTATTAAAATTCAATTAACTATGCAAGAACTTGAAAAACAAAATGGTCATGTCTGTTTTCTTATGCGGTAAAACTAATTAGTCAATAAGTATTCAGTCTGAAATATTTATCAGATACTATGTCATTAAAATACTGAAAATTTACCTTTTTTTGCTTACAGCAATAAAAAAAATCTGTGAACCATTTTTATTCAGATGATTATTATGTCGTTGTTTTTAATAAATTGCGATTAATGGCGATTTTTTTTGCTTAGATAGTAATTAGCTGTCAAAAAGTATGTAATTTTGATGACATAGGAAGTGAAAGATGAAATTGTTAGCAATGTTATCAAAGCTTTTGATTACATCTAAAAATGAGAATCTTGTTGATATCTTTAACAATCAGTTTGTAATTATTTTCAGTTTACTTGATATCCAAGAAATATCATTTCGATCTATATGAGCATGATCGACTGCTCTGATGCCTCAATACTTATTTGTGCGCGTAGCTTCAATCAGACATTAGGAAAATGAGATTTTTTTTTACTAATGATAATGTATATATAATGCTAATGATGTATTATTGTTTGAGTTTTATGTCTCACTAGGAATGAGAGTTATCAAGTATTTCCTTATAATTATTTAGTTTAATATATTTCACATGTAATTTGTTAACATATACTAGTTCTTACTAAGAAAATTAAAACAATCTGAAGTATCAGCAACAAAGTTTTATTATCAAATAGTTTATCAAGAGGTACAGTTAATTTAGCACGTTGTATACTTACGAATATGAGTGTTTACTCAAATTCAGATTACAGAAAAACAGAAAAACTTGTGCAGTCTTAATAATCTTTCAAAAATCATCAATATTTTCGATAGCCGCTCTTGCACTATTAATATCAAGGTTGAAGTTTTTGTCTTCAGTTATTAATTTACGTCAATGGGATTTCGTTTTTATTATTTGGAGTGATGATGTTGCCGAGTTTGAATTAGTGTATGTTAACAAATTACATCTAAAATACATTAAACTAAATGATTATTAAGGAAACACTTGACAACTTTCATTCCTAGTGAGACATAGAGCTCAAACAATAACACATCATTAGTATTATATATGCACTATAACTAACTTAGTAAAAAAAATCTCATTCTTCTAATATCTGATTGCGACTACACGCACAAATCAGTCTTAGGGGTATCAGGAGGCTTGATCACGACCATATATACGAAGTTTAAAATGCATATTGATATTTATAGCAATTTTGTTTTCAAATTAAATGGAAATATATGCAGTGTGGACCAAGGGAACTTTCCATGCTTCTCTCTCGCTTCATTTTTTTTTACTTTTTTTTATCAATACTTCCTGTATTAATTA